TCCCCCTGTGTGCCTTGGTTGAGGACCACCTCGTCCGCGCACGTGACGCAGGCGTAGCTGGGAAAGGTGTAGCGCAATGACGCCGCGTCGTCACACTCCCCTGTCCAGGTGCCTGCCGCTGGATCAAAGGGCCCTTTGTACGTGCGCCGCAGCTTGGTCGTATGCGCAAACGTGAGCTCGAGAAACTCGTTGCTCGTCCACGTGCCAAGGACGGGGACGCCGTCCGCTGCACCAACCAGCTGGTACGCGCTCATGGCTGGCGTGGGCACGACGGTGGCGACGATCGGTGCGCTCGTCTCGCTGCGCCACGTCACTTGCTCAAACGAGCCGCCAACTCGTTTGAAAAAGTGACGCACCTTCTTTGTGGGCGAGTTGCAGTCGCCCACAAAGAGGGTGCGTAGCCAGAGATCCATGTCCACGACGTCGCCTGTCGCTGCAAAGCGGTGACCTGGGAACGTCTTTCGAGAAGTGTCTTCGTCCGTCAGGAAGGCCCGGGCACGGCCACTCCGAACAAGATCAAACGGCGTTTGGCCCGCCTACGACACCTTAAAGACGTTGTACGGGATGTGAAAGCGGCTAGTACCTCATTCGTCACGTCCATAGCGGCTGACGCGCGTAGAAGGACATCGATAGAGGCGCAATTATCGCTTGCGACAGCCAAATGCAGGGGAGTATCCTGTGCCTAGTGGTTGCTGTCAGCTGTATGCATCGTATTGGGCAAGCAAGTGACCACCTTGTTTCGGGCATCGATGTCGGCGCCCGCCTTCAACAGCAACGTAATAACGCTCGTGTTGTTGTGGCGCGCGGCGATGTGCAGCGGCGTGTTCCCTTCCTAGAAATGCGATAAGGGCCGCGACACTCTTGCATGAGCGGTACGTCGTCGGTCCTGTCAACGTCCCCGACGAGCGGGAGGAGCCATGCGACGACGTCGGTCGCGGAATATAGTGCAGCATAGTGCAGCAGGGAGCCTCCACCCTAGTGCAGAGTACCCATGAACACACCTCTCACCATTAAGGGACACTCCACCTCAAGCTTGGCCGTGAGATGGATAATGTCGGGGATCCTTGCGAGCAGCAGCTTCAGAACCGAGACGTGGTCGGCGTGCATGGCCCGGGTTATCGAACGCAATATGTACTGTGCGTACTATTGTATCAGCACTCGTGCAAATGGAAGATACACACGGCGGACCTCGGGGATGGAAGTGAAGGGGGTCGTGTCCAGAAGAAGCGTCACAATGTCCAGACGCCCGAGCTCGCAGGCGTACGACAGGACCGAGTCGCCGTTCTACAAAATTGTATCTGTTGCGAGGTAGACGCTGACAAGGGAGGAGGTCGATTACCTCGATCGCGGAGAGGTCTTGCAACGTGTACGTCCGATGCTGCAGTCGATGTAAAACTACCGGCACGTTGCCCTCTTTGAGGAGGGACACCATCGTCGCGTCGCCGTCGTCCACGATGCCTCCGTCGTCATTGGAGCTACTTGTTGCGTATGAGAAAGGCGACTTGGCTGGGAGTGTGTCGTAGGCGCGGGCCGAACGCCACAGCGCAAGCAGTCGGGCAAAAAACATCACTGCTCAGGACTGCGTTGGCTCAGAGAGTTCCAAGTCGAAGGTTGTCGTGGTGTTCCAATTGGAAGGAATTTCAGCCCCCGTCCTCACATAGACACCCGAGTCATTTTCTTGGAATGTCTTTGACCAACGCGTCATCTCACGGATTATGGATCTAGAGCGCATGATGCATGGCGTCAGCAACGCTGCTGCGTTCGCGGTGGCGCGGGTCCAGGACGGGAAAGGACTGCGTGCGGTGAGGCGGCCCGTGGCCACGTCCGAGCTGCTCGAGCGCTCCTGTGAGCTGACGTGTTAGCTCTTGGTGGCGCTTTTCTTGGGCGGCACAGCGCGCCTGCGACTCGGCTCGCATAGCGACAAGGTCGGCCCGCAGCGCTTGCATCTGCAAGTCTTTGGCCACGGAAGCGTCTTCGCGCAAGGCCCCAATGTGCCGGTTTGGAGTCGCATCAGGTGCTGTCCAGCGCCCTGTCGATGACCCAAGCGCGCAGATCGATCACATTGATCACCTTCTTGCGGTGCACAAACTGAAAGAGGCTGTAGGCACAGTGCCCTTGCGCGTTCAGCGGCGGCACGAGATCGTCGCGTTGCCGGGATCGGCAATGCCTCCATCTTCCTCCTCCTTTGACGAGGTTGAGAAGAAGGGCGACTTGGCCGGCAGCGTGCCGTACGCCGGCTCTTGGCGCCAGAAGCGATCCCACCACATTGCATTAGTACGCAAAACAACCCAATAGTACGAGTCGAAAAGGTATTTTTTCAATGAAAGTGTTCCAAGAATGACGTGGCAGCGCCACAATCGAACAACGGCATCGAAGACGAGGCGGGTGCAACCGAACGGCTACTCCACCTGACAATCAACGTGTGATTCCATGTGCGACCTCAAGGCGCAGTTGCATGGGCGAGAGACGCCCAGTACGAACTCACACAAGACAGACTGACCAATAACGAGCACGCATGGTTAGGCCCCTGAAAGATCGATGGATGGATATCAACAACACTGGCACCACCAAGAAGTAGACAGTATAGTATCTCAACTATCCAAGCAGCATCGTGTATAATCCAGTGTCTAATCCAGTGTGTTGACGCGCGGCCGTGTCTCTGTGCGACGCGCGCCCTTTTTCGCTCGATCATGCGCCGGCGCCGTTTCATCATCAACGCAAAAATTACTGCCGCAAGCTGATTGGCTACTTGCCTTCAAGCGATGCCATTGGCCAAAAGATGGCATGACTTACGGACGCCATTTGCGTTTTTCACGGTCGGCAGCAGCAGCATGGGCGACAAGTCGGAGGTCTACTTGTACATCCCCAACCTCATCGGCTACGTCCGCGTGGCCCTCACGGCCTACAGCTTCTACGTGGCCGAGACGGACTGGAAGACGAGCATCATCTGCTACGCCTTCAGCTTCATCTGCGACTACTTTGACGGCTTCTTCGCCCGCTGGTTCAACCAATGTACTCCACCGCGTCGCTCTTGGCGAGGGCTCATTGGTCATCCACATTAGGCTCGACGTTTGGCGCCGTCCTCGACATGGTCACGGACCGGTACGCTGCGAGCGACTCGCGCTCTGTCGCTCACATGGTGTAGCTGCTCGACGGCGGGCCTCCTCGTGATCCTCTCGCACCTCTACCCGGCGTACAAGCTCGCGTTCCTCTTCCTCCTCGTGCTCGACTTCTCGAGCCATTGGTACCACATGTACGCGTCGCGCGGCCACCATAAGTCGATCGAGTCCAAGAAGAACGTTCTCCTGCGCGTCTACTACGGCTGCTACCCGCTCTTTGGCTACTGCTGCGTCGGCGCCGAGTTCTTCTACATCCTCTTGTATGTCCTCAGCTTTGAGCCGACGCTCGCGGTCGCGGGCCTTCCCCTTGCCTCGGTAGGCATGCGTCCCTGCCTTGATGCTCATGGGTCGCCTCGTAGATTGCGTGGTACGGCTGCTTCCCCGCGTGCGTCATGAAGAACATCATCAACGTCGCGCAGCTCGCGTCGGCTGCGGCCAGCGTCGCCGAGTTCGACTACGAGCAGAAGACCAAGGCCAAGTGAGCCACTGCCTTTGCTTGAACATCGCACGACATGTATCAAGATAGCATTACTGTAGCTGTAATTCAACAACTTATTCCACAAGCTACGGTCTAAAGCGTCTACCTCTCGCTACGTCTACTGCATGTAGCGCCAAGTCCTATGCTCGGACAAAGGAGAGATGCTGCACCGTCGACGAAGACGCATCGACAAAGTCGGTATCTCACGCGGCTATCGCATAGTCCGTGAGGTTCAAGCAGCCCGTGAGGTCCAGCGTGTGCACATGACCGAGCATCGAGACATCAGTGAGTCCCGTGCAGTTAATAAGGCTGAGCGAATGCACGTGACGCAGCCCATGTACGGTCGTGAGCTGGTCGCAGCCGTCGAGGCAGAGTGTGTGCACCAAGGTGAGCGCGTTGACGTCGTCATCTTTGATGCGGCGGCAGTTGGCGAGGTTCAGCGTGTGCACCAAGCGCAGACAGGCCACCGCCTCGACATAGGTGCTTGCAAGGTTGAGATCATGTACGTGAACGAGTGGTGAGACATCGCGGAGCTGCGCGCAGTGCGAGAGGTCCAGTGTGTGAACGCTGGCGAGCGCTGCGACGTCGGTCACCCAATCGCAGCCCGAGAGGCTCACGGTGTGCAGCTGTCCGAGACGGCGCAAGTCGACCACAGCCGTTCGGTTGGCGCGCAGCGTGTGGAGATACCCTAATGACGCAACATCGGCCAAGTCGAAGTTGCCGCTGACGTCG